TTCAACTTCACAACGAAGGATATTGGACTCCAGACAACGCAAGTTCAACTTCACGACGAAGGGACCGCTGGTTGTCAACAAACATTTCTCAAATTCAGAGCCAATTTCAACTTCACAACGAAGGATATTGGACTCCAGACAACACAAGCTCAACTTCACAACGAAGGGGCGGCTGACTGTCAACAAACAATTTCCCAGTTCCAGAACCAATTTCAACTTCACGGCGGAGGATATTGGACTCGGAACAATGCAACTTACTTGGATTTCAACTTCACAACGAAGGATATCCAATTCCAGGCTCAACTTCACAATAAATGGTATCGTACCCTAACAGATTGACCCAACTTCACGACAAAGGGGTCATCTGTAACATCACAACACCAAAGTCTTCAGGTCAAGTTCCACCTTCACAACGAAGTATCTTGAGCCAGAAGACGATTCAGAGGCCACTTGTCAAAAGCTTTGAGCTCGTTTTCAACTTCGCGACGAAGGACTTCGTGCTCAGAATTTTCCAATTTTGGCTCAACCTCCCGGCGAGGGAGTAATTGTGTGATTTAGTCCAATGATCGGATTTCAACTCTACAGGAGAGGATATTCGATGGGACTTGACCCTTATATGGATGATGTTAAATTTGGATACGTTTTTGGGTAAACGAAAAGTGTGTCTTTTAATCTTTGCCCTATCCCCGTTACACGACTATGGGCAAAGAGGGGCAGCTGTAGACACACTTTTTTAAATCACACATATTTATACGTTATATATATATTATATATTGTATAAATATTATTGTTTTAGTAAACTAACAAATTTACATTTGTTTTGTTTCTATGTCAGGCCCGATACATCAAATGGAGCCCAACAGCTGTGACCCAAACGCGCAACCCATCCAACAATAGCCCAAGTCATCCCCAGGCTCAAACCCACGTGCAGATCAGCTCCCTAGGGTTTCCAGGAACCCTAGCGCCGCATGCTCATCCCTCGTGTCAGCGCCGTTTCCAGAACCGAGCCATCAAGTCCCCACACCTCACGAGTCTTCACCATTCACGCCTCTCCTCCGTGCTTCTCGGCAATACACCAACAACGTGCACATTTGGAAAACAAGAACCCAGTATTAGAATTCCATTAGGACTCAAATATGTAATCTAAAAATAGGTTTTTTCCAGTATAAATAAGGGTAATCAAACTCGTTGTGGAGGAGATCGGACACTGGATTCACACACGAGATCACTGTGTAACAACTACTCACACACAATAGCCAAGAGGGTTCAAGCACTTGTCAATATTTTTGAAAAAGATAATAAAAAGGTATCGTTTTTTTACCTTGGTTTGTGTTTCGTCGTTGCATGTTGATTGTTGCTGGGGTTTTCGCTCGGAAAACGACCAAAAAGACGAACGGCCGAGGACCATATGGGTTTTTTTTCGAGACTTGTTTTCAAGATCTACACCCCGGTAGGCCTATTTTAAAAAAAATCTTTCGGTTTTTGAAGAGGGAATTTGAAAAGCTTTTGAAAAAAGTAAAGTTTTTTTGGGTTTTGCCGCCGATGACTGGCAGCCGGCGCCGATCAGAGGCGGTCGGTGAGGCGGTGCCATCGTATTTCTGGGTTTGGGGCGACTGTGTTCTTCATTATGAAGAACACAGATGAAAACCAGAGAAAGAGGGAAGGTTGCGGCGAGAGAAGAAGGAAAAATGAAACCTAAAAAAACGTTTGATCCAGGTTTATATCAAATTCGCGTGTTTTGCCTTAAATTAGGGTAAACCCGCTTTTAGTCCCTCCTATTTTAAAAGTCTGTTATTTTGATCCCCAAATCCGGTTTTCAAACTCCAATGATATTCTAATTCGACCACTCAATTCGTTTTACTTTCAATTTGGTCCCTGATGAATTCAATTCGTATTTCTTTAAATCTTTTTATATATTACGCTTTATTATATATATATATATATTGTTATTATTATTATTATACGTATATATATGTATATATTTTATTTCTTTTTATACTCTTTTACCATTTTTATTTTTATTATTATCATTATTCTTTATATTATCCTTATTATTTCTATTATTACTATTTTTTTTTGTGATTATATATATATATATACGTATTTTCTATATATTTCATCTATATACTTAGTGTTAATACATATATATTATTTTAATTAACTTTTTGGTCACTTCTTTATCTAGCTACTACATCTGATAATTTTATACGTTATATGTGTATTTTTTTATTATTTACCAACCTTACTCATTTTATCTTATAGTTATATTTCTATTAACATTTTTTTTGGTATTTATGTATATACATATATATATATATTCGTTTTACCTATTATTGATATTTTTCCTTTTTAATACTTTAATATATATATATTTCTCGTTTCATTCATTAATTATTTATTCCACTTTTATTTTATTTATTTCTCCCTTTTACTTTTTACTATTATTATTATCTATTTATTTATGCTATTATATTATATTTTTATTATTATATTCGTCATTATTATTTCATTACTATTTTTACTATTATAACTGTTATTTTTATTTATATATTACGCATATTTTTTTTCCTTTTTTTCATTGTTTCGTATTTTATTTTACTCTGTGTAATTTTTTATCCATTTATGTTTTATTATATTTTCTTCTTTTTCTTTATTTGTATTTTCGTTTGTTTTTCTCTTCTGCATATCTTATTTTGTATTTAGTCATATTTCACTCTTTCCTTTTTGTATACATTGTTTTTATATTATTTCGTTTGTTCGCCTTATTTTTCTATTTTTACTACTTTCATTACCTAACCCTTTCCTTGGCTTTTTGAGAGAACTTCAAACAATCAGTGGTAAGCAATTTGGATCAATATTTTACCTTTTAATTTAACTTTCAATTTTCTTAATCAAAGACAACTGGAAATTACACAGTACCGAAAGGGCAGTTCAAGGGTGCTAGCCCTTCCTTGACTGTAACCGACTCCCGAATCCGACACATCTCTGGTAAGACGCAGATCAGGTAAGAAATAGGGTATCCGATCAACCCATTTATTTTTAAATAAATGATCGGTGGCGACTCCAATCCACATTTTCCTAAGTCGAAGCCCGATTCCGGGACCCAACCGAAAGACGGTTCCGACAATAAGAAAACAACCGCCCATCGTTCTCGAGAACATAAGTAAATTGTCGAACCTCCTTAAATCATGTGTTCTTAATTTCTTTACTGTTTTGTTTAATTCCAGAGTCAATTAGCCTATTTCTCAACAAATATCAATATATTTAAAAAAAAAAAAAGATGTTTAAAGCTCAAGATTGTGGCCAGCATTTACTGGGTTTCGAAATTTCTCCATATTCTTTGGGCCTGATACTGTAACAAAAATGACCATTAAAACTTTATCGATAAAACACACAAGAAGTCATTAAATTATGCTTGAATAATCATCTCGATCACTAAACTTTTAAATATTTTTTTTATAAATAGGGTAAACTACACGGATGACCACTAAACTATTGTTAATTTTCATTTTAACATCGATGTTTTGATTTGATCAATCAAACCATCCAATTCTGTTATAGTTTACAACAACTTTTATATAACGTACCTCAGTAAATAATAGAAAAAAAGATAAAAATGACACCAATGGGATTCAAACTTAGGATTAATGACAGAGATAAAACCACCATAACCGCTAAACCAAATAACATACTTGAAATAAAATTTATGAATATGTTAAATATGTTCATAAATTTTATTATATATTATTTTATTAAATTATAATTTATTATATATATAAATATTAATAAATATATATAATATTACATTACATACTTAAAATTTAACATGTTTGATATATTTCTAAATTATTATAAATATAATTCTTAATTTCTTTAAGTATGTAATTTAATATTATATATATTTATTAATATTTATATATGAAATAAATTATAATTCAATGGAATAATATATAACAAAATTTATGAATATATTAAACATAGTAAATATATTCTTCATGTATGTTATTTGGCTTAATGGTTATGATGGTTATATCAATGCATTAATCCTAAGTTCAAATATTATTGATGTTAATTTTTGTTCCTTTTTTTTTTCTGTTACTAACTGAAATAAGTTATATAAAAACTGTTGTAAAATACAACCTATTGGGAGTCTTAGTTGAGTCGTTGAGACGTGGACTTTTCCAGGTTTAAAACCAGATCGACACGTGTCTCCTTTATTTCTCTCTTTAATAGGGTGTCATCACCTTATTGAATGGAAAAATTAGTGGATTAATTAAGTAAAATATTCTCTAATCTGACAGATGTCCCCTTTATTTCTCTCTTTAATATGGTGTCACCACATGAAAAAAAATTTAAAAATAAAAAAATATTCTCTAATCTGACACGTGTACCATCTAAATAGAGATTAAATTTATTTTAATTGAATTAAATTATAACTAAATTGGTATATAAAATATATAAGTACCGTCAAATGTATAAATATGTCAATTTTATTAGTTGATACGTTACTACCTCCATTTAAATAGTTGAATAGTATGATTGACAAATAAACAATAGTTTAATGGTCACATGTGTCATTTACCCATAAAAATATAATAATCAAAACGAACCTCTAAACATTTCCCAAAATTTAAAATAATATTAGAACATGCCAGATTCTGCGCGCACACACACAAGAAACAGAATCGTGGTTCTAGTGATTGGATTAAATTGAATGTTTTGGATCTAGATTGGTATAAAAATATATGTTTCGTTTTTTAATCAGAATTTCACTACGTTTATTGTTATAAAATTTTGAATAAAATGCAAATAGTGAATATGCTTGAGAACTCGGCGTAGGTTCAAATAAACTGTGAGTCACTAATTAACTTAATATTAGAATGATGACCACAATGAATTGATCAAAACTTGAAACGAAACCTGTTGTATTAAGAAAAAACATACAAGGGATATTGTTATTATGGTTGTCCAAGAAAATAAATATCAACAGTTCTCACATAATTTTTTGCTGGCATATATAACACTAAAATAGGCAGCTATTTTACAATAAGAAATTAGTATATCCAATAATTATGTCAGTTCATATAAATAATGTTTGTGTAGTAGAATGGGTGCACCACGGGTGTGTATCATCAGTTGCACGTGAAAAGCAAGAGAACACTAGCTAACCTGTGTAAGGCAAAAGATTTGCTTTTGATCAAGACGATTCGATCTCCCCCTGACTATTTCCGAAATGAATCACTTGATCGGTCCCGTTTAGACACCCAGCAGGCGCATAATCTGCAGCTTTGACTGCGCAGATGATGCTTTCAACATGTCAACTTTAAGTTAGGAAGAAGTCTGGCTCCGAAGCCTCTCATTCTTTGCACATTCCTCCTGAAAAATTATAAGCTCCTGGTAAAAATTCCTAGTTAAGCAGCAACAGAAAACCATGAAAACACCTGAAGATCATATTGCCCTTCAGCTCATCACTAGACAACAACCTCTTCTGGAGTACCGATGAAAATTAGATATCATTCACCCATCATCCCACTATGGAAATGCAATATCACCTAAACCACTAAATTGATAATCTAAATTTGAGGCCAGGTATCACTGTTTGATGAAGTGAAATCTTCTGCTTAGATCTCATAAACAACTTTTGCACATGCAAAAATGAAAAGAAATGGAAACGGAAAGGCGCTGTCCATTGTTTTCCGTGCTAGGCAATTCTATTATTTTACCAAATGGAGTACAGGAATCAAAGTGGGTGTTGGTGCCAGAGCAATCAAATTCTAATGACTTGGGCATAGAATTCAATATGAACAAGTTATCTCCACATTCCTAACTCCAGAAAATTGTAGCTGAGGATGGCATCCTAACAATTAGGTCATCAGCAAGCACCCTAGGTAGACATTCTTGTTCAACAGCAGATCAAAGAGCATCAGAGCTCATAGCTTTAAAACTCCAAATCCAATTGTTCCGCTAGATCATGGAAACTAGCAGTCTAGCAAACGGCTTATTTTTACATTTTCTAAAAATGGTTTTTGATTTTTGCACCTTTTCTGTTCAAAACCACTCCCGAAACAAATTTAAACACATTTCTTCTCCAAAATGACAATTTTTTTTTCATAACCATTATGTGAAAATGTGCTTACCTGGAATGCTTTTAAGAGAGAATAGCAGCGTCTTTGCTCCGCCACTGCAGCAGTATACCTCTCTTTGAGATCATCACAAATTTTCTGCTCTTCTTGAAGACCAATTTGCACCTTCTCCAGCTTCTGCAAAAGAAATGCCTCATTACACCCCCAAAATAAACTCAAACATCCTTAATAGAGTACATTAGAACCATTCCTTGTTTCTATGGGAAATGGAACTGTAACTCCAGTACTTTCAATTCAGTTAATCAGGCAAAGTTCCATGTTTGTATGATTTGAGAAGCAAATTACTAGGAATCGAATAATTACCATGTTTGGTTCAAATATCTAAAAGTATGTACTAAAATAGTACAAACAAATTTTGAAAAAAAAATGCTCAAGGATATACAGTTTTGACAATAAACTTCCAAAACTTGACAACTTTGTATTGCATAGCATATTGTAACGATAAATCTTTACCACCGGCAATTAGCAGTCATCATTAAACTACAGCTCTATGTTTCCTGAAAGTTCACAAAATACCCTAGTCTTATTGTAAAAGTCTGTTTTTGACAGCTCAATATATCAAAAGGGAATTAACAAAAGAAGCACATAAAACAAAGGCATGCTTTTTCATTACATTTTTCTTGCAAGGTACACTTTAGTTATGTTCAAAAAGACATGTGCATTATGCAAAGCAGTTTTTTTAGATTACACAGTGGCATAAGTGTATCGGTGACAATTCAAGTCCATTTAGCTTTTTCTCACCATTTAGAACGGTATAATGTACAGGTTAAGGTCTAGATAAGAGGCCAAAAAGCTACAGCACATTGAAATTTCCAGACCATACAAGCAAATACAGGCTCAAACTACAGGTAGTTCAAATAAGTAGTTCAAACAACCCAAGACGAGCCAACTGAAATTAGAATAAGAATATATCCCTGCTATTTTCTATTAGCTAAAAGGTAACATTACCTGTTGGCTGCCCTTTACAATTCCCTCCATGGACTCAAGTAATTTCATGCGACCAATAGGGCTAGCAATGGCATCCTGAAACTGTATGGACGTAAATATAAAAACATGTCAGCAAAGACCAGAAAATATATAATGACCAAAGTTGGATTACGATGTAGAGTCAATCAGATTGGCCATGGATATACTGCCAATGCTTAGTAATGACTTAAACGATACTAGATTAAAGGTTTTCCTTCATCGTAAGGAAACAGAAATAAGAGTTGAATCTATGAAGTACTAATAGAATTAAAACTAAGGAGTATTGGAATTTTTAGGATTACACTGAACATGATTAAGAAAACAATCACCATTTTAGGATTACAGAAAAGACCCTATTCCCATTTGATAACCCTGATATTAGTTTTCTTTTATGTCAGTTAATATTTACAATGTGATACCGCTCATGTTGTTTATATTGTTGTTGAATTTTAAAAATTGCTTCTCATTTCACGATAAGGAAAATGAAAGAATCTAGATACCTAACCGCAGAAAGAGATGAGTGAAGCTAATAAATGTCTTCCTCATGTTAGCAGGCAACAGCAAAGTATCAAAGAAAACTACATTAAAAACGATACCAACTCTTTATCTAATTACAAAATAGCTACAGAACAAATTAATCAACATTAACATATACTTATTATATCACTCGGAAGAAGAAAAGGTTGAAACTTTGAGATGTTAAAGTTCTGAGACAAAATCTTGACAGACGATAAACAAATGCAAGAAGTATTCACTCATTTGAGTTATACCTGTGAATTTATGGAATTCAACAAAGAAGTTTCCTTTAGCATCAACTCTTTAATCTCCAAAAGAGCATTGAAGGTTGCATAGAATTTCCGAGTTTGCTGAAGTTTTTCCTTTACAAGACAAAGTATTGCATATTAACACTAATAGGCTAATAAGAACGGAACACATAAATGGAAGAAAAAGACAAAGAAAGATCAAAACTACACCTGAATATGAGCATTCAGTTCTGAAAACCGGTGCTCATACCTGCAAGTGATGGTAAATCAACATTGGTACTAAACTTTACTTGGAGGAAAGAAAATTAAATTCTAAAATTACTTGTTTTTTTTTTTCTTTCTTTTTTGTCGATTATCCTAGAGGAATAAGACATTGATAGTGGGTCATCTATATTATCCAGAACTAAACCTAGATTAATCATATGCAGAGTAATTGGCAGTGCCAAGTGAGATATATATATATATATATATATGTTTATTTGAAATGACATGCCAAGTGATATAAATATATATGTATGTATGCATGTATACTTGAAATGAAATGTCAAGTGATATATATATGTACATTTCAAATGAAATGAAAGGTTTCGTATTTGTTGTCAGAAGTAAAGAAAAGTCTTCTGACCTATTCACTAAGTACTCTTAACAGTTACAAGTTATAAAACATAAGATTACAAAGGATAGAGTCCAACAACTCAAGAATGATCCTCAAACTCGGTCATATTTGAACAACCTGTGTAATATCAAAACTTTAAGGCCTAAAACTTTACAGAAATGGAAAAGGAAGGTGAACATACTGGATGAGTTCTGACTGGGAGGGTGCATTATCCAACTGGCGCTTTATGGATACTATTGCCCTCAGTCTAGCTGCAAGTTCCTATGACCCAGATATACCATATTAATCAGTAACTATTAATATACTCAAAAGCAATTAACCTATGAAAAGTTAGTTACTTTACCCTCTTTGTTAAATTAAGCTTTTCCAATGATTGGTTTAAGGAATCATCTAAACTGTGAGGGAGCATATTGCTTTCAGATCCAGTTGCTAACTTTCCCTTCAAATCACTAACTTCAACTTCCAGAGAAAAACGTTTTGCATCAAAATCAGACCGAATTTCAGATTCTTGTCTTTCTAGTAACTGGAAAAACGATTAAAAATTATAATAGTATCAAATTTCCAACCAATAAAAACAAATGCAGAAATACATGGAGCATCGAAATTATTAAATTAATTAGATATATATATGCATATATTTTCTAATAAAAGTTCAGACCTTTAGATTCTCCAAAAGGGAAACCAAATTCTGTATTTTGGATTCAGCACCTTCCTTTCTGATTTTCTCTTGTAAATTTTGTAATTCATTGCGAACGCTATCCTTCCTTTGATTCTATATCATAAAATAGGTCATTAAAATTGGGAAAATAACCAGTTGATACATAAAAATGAGGAGAAGAAGATTAAAAACTTTCGATAGAAGGTTAACCTTTTGATCCAAATTTGAGTTCAATATCGCAATCAAAGCTCTTGTACTGTTCAATTCCTGCTCGCTGCTTCCCTCTTGCATTGTTCAGGATCAGCAAACGATGAGGAATCGCTTGACGCGGAACCCAAAGCGAGTTATTTAATCCGTCTTAAGACTGTCGAATGATGTTAACAGGCTTACATTTTGAGCATTTTGGGCATTCAACAGACCCATTGGATGCAGTTTCGGCCCAAATACTTCTACCTATACAAGGATTTGCATTAAACATACACTCAAAACCCTCCAAAACCTTTTAATTAATCAAATTGCATAACACATTTAGCCATATTCGAGAACATAATTTAAATTAAAATATAATGGATTTTAATATATAATATCATTTTTAATAATAAAAAAGAATTAATATTATATTAAAAAAATAATACAGATAGATAGATAAGACAATCTCCCATATCATTGTTATCTGGGGACTATCTAGCTGGCGAGATAGGTCCATGGACACATATTTTAATGTCAATGGTTCCACCTTTATCCTTCCCCAACATTGACTTTTTGTAGTGACTTATGAACCCACTGTATGCTCTAATAAAGCAAATGAAAGGAAATTGCCAACTTGTGATTATGTTGATCTATACACATTCACTGTGTGCGAGTAATTGGATTCCTTCCGTGTACATTTCTTATCTCAGCTTCCATGATGTTTAGTGAATAAAGCTTTTTGGATTTAGGATCATTTCTACCCCCATCCCATGCATTTCTTGCTCTATTTATATGGGAATCATCAAGACTATTGGATGAGATAAAATAAAGGCTGAAACTAACAATAGAAAATGAAAAGATATTCACTGAAAAAAATTAGCTAATCTCAGCCTTTGATTTCCCTCAATCCAACGATATTAAAAATGTGCAAAACTAAAAGAGTTTTACACGATGTAAGTGAATCCTAACCTACAAATAAGTTTTACACCAATTTATAATCATTATATTTAAATACATAAATGACTTAGATTTGATTAAAAATTTATAACCCATAAATAAACATTTCTTTAATTCACAATAAAATAATATTTTTTCTTTTTAGGGTTAGAGTTTCAAGTTTAGGATTATAAATTTTAATTAAATCCAAGCTATTTATTTATTCATATCTACGACTATAAATTGGTGTAAAACTTATTAGTTTTTATATAGTGTAAGTTGATTTTATACTTTTTTCTTAATTTCTTCTCACTTTTATCAACACACATGCAAGGATGGATCGAGGGCAAATGTTCCTTTGAAAATTTTGAATTCTCATATAATTTAGATATTTTTGTTTATATTTTTTTTATTGATTATTTATATTTCGTCCTCCAAAGTTTTATAAGTTCATTTCTGTATTGTATATAGATCAACTAAAAAACTGCATTTAATCACTAAATGATACCAAAGGATTATGAATAAGGTTTTTTTGTCCTCCCAATTTTAGGGCATCGTCTTGACTAATCTAGATCGACTCGCGTCACATATTTGGCTTTGGTGGGTAAGTCTACTAGTGAAGATTTTTTTTTTCATATACAAAAACTCAAATCCGAAATCTTACTTAAACAATATCAAGTTACTTACCACTTGAATCAATTTCGTTGGTACGAATAAGATCTTTAATAAAAGAATATTGGGATTTGAATCCATGTTTAAGGTGGTCCACGAGAGTGGGTGGGGTTTGATTTGTAGTATTGAACTCAAAAGATGAGCCCTAAAAGTGACAGCCATGCAGGGAGAACTGAACTGCACCAAACATGATCCTTTGTTTGCGGCCAAACAACAGCAGATCCATTGTTTATGGCCATGCAAACACTCAAATTGCTTTCTCTATCCCTCTTTTCTTTAGAATCGCTGCTCTCTGCCGCTTTGCACGATCCGTTTCTTAGGAAGTCGAGGCATTTTTCACATGTCTATACAGTTACTCAATGGGTTATTTGTAGGTATGGATAAAATATTTAAATTTAACGGACTTCGATTTGATTTTATATGATTGATTTGTTTTGAAATTCGAGTTTACCATGAATTTTGTGTGCGAGAGAGTTTGAGTCTAATTTAGAGTAAAAATTTTCCGATCCAACTTGAACAATTACCAGGGACTGAGGGAGCTAGGATTGAATAATGGTAGGGGTCAAAATATTGAACATTTTAAGAAAAATATAATGGCTTGTTAAGTATTTAAACTCAAAATTCAGAAGACAATGTTTAATTTGTCTAATACTTAAACTTACAATGACCAAAACTGTTATTAGACAAATTTTTTTTTGAGAACACGGGGTCATCATTCTTTAGTTTTTCCCCAAATTGATTAAATATTTAATAAATTATTGTATTTTTTTAATTCAAATACTTATTTTTACATTAACCAAAATATTATTAGACCATATATCAAATATATAAAAATTTGGATAAATTACATCGCTCATCACTGAACTATACCATCTCTCCTATTTTCCTTACCCAACTTTTAATTTGCTCAATTTGTTCACTGAACTTACAGATTGAATCATTTTGCTCACTCCTTCGTTTTCTCTCTAACGCATGGATTGTAATACCCCAAATAATAGGTCAATGATTAATTTGAAAGGAATTAAAAATTTGGAGGACTAAATTGAGTAATTGGTAAAGTATAAGAAATGACATAAGTAAGACCAATTTGTAAAAGATGGTTTATTAAAAGAGCATTTTGGTCTTTTAGGTGAAATGAATTTAAAACCTATTTAAATTAGGGATTTAAGAAAAAGAGGAAAGGAAAAAAGCTTATTTCTCTTTTTCTTTTTCTTCCCGTGCAAGGACCACCCTCCATAGCCCAAAGGTAAACTTCAATTTAATATGTTTTTCGTTTCGATCATGGGTTGTTTTTACAGCCTTAAGTGATATGTAAGTTAAAGGGAAGGTTAAATAGGATTAAAACAAATGTATGGATGAAATATTAGAGATTTAAGAAAATGAGTTTTATATGAGTGTTTATGGATTTTATTGGTAGATTTGACTTGTCAAAGTAGTAAATAAGAGATTAGAAGCATTGGATGAGTTTAAAAACAAGATAGAGAATGTGATGTGATTCTTAGAATCAAATGATATTGAAGGATGCTAGATGTTTTAAGTAACTAAATGAAAGAAAGTTAGTATGGATAGCTAAAGAAGAGTTTGATAGTATTGTATGGTGTAAGTATAACAAAATTTGACCCAATTTATGTAAAAATCGGGTTGAAAACTGGAAAATCTGGGCAAGGGTATAGGTATTGATATAACATTACCGATACTATAGGCTAAAATGGGATGGAATAGCTAAGTAGTATCGATACTGATTGAATCAGTATCAATACCAACGAGGTAGTGTCGATACCATTGTAAGGGTATCGATACCAAGTCACATCGAATCTAAAATGGGTATCAATACAGGAAGGGGGTATCAATACCATAATATAGTAGTATTGATACCATGGTAAGGGTATCGATACTAGTAAACATTGAATCAAAAATTGGTATCGATACTGGAAGGGGGTATCGGTACCATATTATAGTAGTATCGATACCATGGTAGAGGTATCGATACTATAGAGCCAGAAAGGTTAAAAATATGATGATATTGTTATAGAAAGTTAATGATATGTCTATTTTAGTATTGTTTAAGTATAATTGTTAGGAAGAATACTAACAATTGATATTGTATGTGTCGTTATATGTATGCTTGGGTAGAACGAAACCAAGCTCTGGAGACAAACAAAACCAAGGGTAAAGGCAAAATACCGGAGTAATCAACATTAAGTTTTGGATACATAGCAAGGAAAGTCAGGTGAGTACATTTAATTATGTACGTATATGTTACGGTAGACATAGTTATATGATTTATTAATGTAAGTATAGTGATTACCAAATGGCACTAGGTGTGCAAAAATTTAAGAAATTCATACTAAGTGTATGAATTTCAGTATGGACTACATGGGTGCGAATTGAGAAATTCATACTAAGTTTATGGATTTCCGTATGGGAAATAGATGTGAAATGGTCAAAAGTTCATAATAGAAAGGTGAATTGTTGTAGTTATAATAGATGAGTAATCCATGGAAATTATAGTAAAATTGTGGTATTATTGTACTGGCATTATGGGTATAATTCATAGAATATATAATAATTGAAAGGGTCAATTGATAGTAAGAATGGTTATTATAGTAGAGACTGCTCTAAAATAAAAGATTATAGGCCTAACTGTGCAAATGACATAAAGGTGTCATTTAGGCCAGTTAGATGAAAGGCCAAGTGCCTTTGAGGCCTAACTATGCAAATGACAGAAAGGTGTCATTTATGCCAGTTAGATGAAAGGCTAAGTGCCTTTGAGGCCTAACTGTGCAAATGACAGAAAGGTGTCATTTATGCCAGTTAGTTGAAAGGCTAAGTGCCTTTGAGGCCTAACTGTGCAAATGAAAGAAATGTGTCATTTATGCCAGTTAGATGAAAGACTAAGTGCCTTTGAGGCCTAACTGTGCAAATGACAGAAATGAGTCATTTATGCCAGTTAGATGAACAATTAAATACCGTCGAGTAAAAGAATAATGGCCTAACTATGCAATTGGCATAAACGTGTCATTTATGCCAGTTAGATGAACGATTAAATATCGTTGAGTAAAAGAATAATGGCCTAACTGTGTAATTGACAGAAATGTGTCAATTATGTCAGTTAGATGAATGGTTAAACATTGTTGAGTAAAAGAATAATGGATTAGCTGTGCATTTGACAGGAAAGTGTCAAATATGTAAGTTAAATGAAAATCTAAATATCTTTGTGTAAAGAATAAAGGAATTATAATGTAATGTAATATGAATGGTATATAAGTGATATGAAGGGATGATATATATATATATATATATATATATATATAATGTTCAAAAATGCATAATTAGTATGAAGGGATGTTATAAAGGAAAAATGTAAACAGAACATAATAGGCATGAAAGGATGCCATAATTAAAATGCAAGAAAGGATGCATTAAGGCATGAAAAGATGTCATAATTAAAATTCATGAAAGGATGCATTAAGGAATGAAAGGATGTCATAATTAAAATGCATGAAATGATGCATTAAGGCATGAAAGGATGCCA